TCTTTCAAGCTGCTGCCCTGATGCTGGAGCTCAGAAGGAGTGAGTCCAAGTAAGCGCATGTGTGGGCCCTTGAGAAGGAATTGCCTGGGACTCTAGTCTCTGTCCCACAACTTCAACCCCCACTAGTTTTTACATCCAGAAGTTATAGAGACTTATCTTCCTGGCACTGGAACCCTGGGCTGAGGGGCTGGGACCTTTTACTCCCAAGATATCCGCCCCAATTTTTATCTACCACACTTGGGTGTGGGACCAGCCTGTTCCAAATCTGCCCCTCCCAGCAGTCTCGATGTGATTTCTTCTTTAATCCCGTAGTCGTAGGTCTTCCATTCAGCTAGGTTTCTGGCAGTTCTGAACGAGGGTGGTTCTGTAGTTTAGCTGTAATACTGATGTGGTTGTGTGAGGAGCTGAGCCGTGTTTACCTACGCCTCTATCTTGACCAGAACCAAAAACACTGTTTGTTGTTAAAGATGCTTTTTTCGTAGTGCTCTGCTCTTTTCCCGTGGGTGCCGTATTTTCTCACCCCTTGAGCACTTTAGGGCTAGTGCACCTTTAAGTTTTCCTCCCTTGCCTCTGATGTTCATGTTTATTTGTTTGAGCCCCTTTCTTTCACATTAGAGGCCTTCCTCATTTCCATGGAGATCCCTGACTGTTCATTTTTAAGAGGGAAACAGTCTTGACTGAAATCTGTGTGTGGGTAGGAGGGGATTATTGACTGTGGTCTTCACTGCAGGCCTACTACTAGCTTGGTGGTTTTGTTGGGAACCCCTGAACTTCAGTGTGATTAGGATTTTTTTCCTTGAGCTGATAAGATATTTTTCAAGCTGATAAGTCTTTCCTAATATCCTATCTAAAAAATATCATGCATATTCTGTTTTTTGTAAGCTGGGTGGAGTAGGAGCTCAGTCCCAACATTCAGTAGAAAAAAAAATGTATTTAATTTCTCTATTTTAAAGCATAGCCTTCTTCTGTCTACCGTGTGCAGCATCCCCCCACCCAGAAACCCTCTGTTTTGCCAGGTGCAAAGAGGGAACCTGCAGGCCTCCCTAAGCAGTGACGGATCTGAATGGGGTAGGGGACAGAACCTGGGATCTAATTGTTTCTTATGCAGATTTTTTTTTAATCCTCACCTGAGGACATTTTTTCATTGCTTTTGAGAGAGAGAAGAAGGGAGACTGAAAGGAAGAGAGAAAAACATTGATATGAAAGAGAACCACCACTCAGTTGCCTATTGTAAGTGCCCCAACTGGGGATCAAACCCACAACGCTTGGTTATGACAGTTGGACTACAAGACAATGCTCCAACCGACAGAGCCACGCCAGCCAGGAATCTTCTGTGGATCTTCAAGCAGCCTCTCTGTTTTAGCCCCATCATCATTCCCACTTCTGGAAGTACCTTTGCCTTTAGAGGATTTAATATGGTAAATCAATTTGCACCACGGCTTTCCTTAATGGCTCCTTCAGATGGATTCCACTTTTTAAGTTGTCTTAGTTACCACCTTCCACTCTGCTTTCTCAAGTTCTCACATTGTGCTGTTTGTTTGTTTTTTTTGTTTTCTTTGTCCCTGTGGTTTGTGTTTTTTAGTTTTGTTAAATTTAAAGTTCAGAGGGGGGAGGTTTCAGGAGGGAATAAATGCTGTTGCATGAGCTGAGCCGCCACCCTCCACTAGAAATCCCCTTCTGTGGCACCGGTTCATCTGGGGCCTCCTGGGCCGGCTGACTGTTTGATCGAATCCAAGAAAGCTGACTGCCCACCCCAAACGTTTGCTGCAAGCATCTCTCCTACGCCAGCCTTGGCCGGCGGGTAGGCCTCACGTGGATTGACAGGGTATTAGAAAGACCAGAAGTGTCCCTGTCCCGCCTTCCTCGGCTCTGTAATGCTGTGGATAAATCACCGGGCTGTCTCGTGGAGTGGTGGCCAGATGTGTTATCAGAGTGGTCCAGCTTGTGGGGCCACGGTGGGGGCAGCAGGCTGGTGGCTCAGTCTAGGCTTTGTGGGGTGGTTTCACAGGTCTGCTGTTTAGATTTGGTGAATCTGGTATAGGGCATCATCCATTTGTGCTTTGTGGCCAGCGTCAGAAAACTAAGGTAAATCAAACTCCTAGCACACTAGTCACCTTGCAGAGCGCTTATTTATGGGTTTATTGTTGGGTGTGTCTCTTCCCAGTTATTGGGCCTTCCTATCTCCTGTGCGGGGTATTCTTCTCGGGCACCAAGCCAGAGGGAAGGCTCGTAGCCACCACGTCTTCTGCACACCAGGGCATACTGTTCACGTTTTCTTACATCATTTCCAGTCAATCTGCACTCTAACCCCGGGAGGTGTCATCCCCATTTTACACAGGAGGAAACCAATTGTTCAAAGAGGCTGAGTAAGTGTCTCAAGCTTGCAGAGCCAGTGAGAGAGACTCAGAACTTCCTGGCTGGCATATTCACAGACCTCCTTCTGCCCTGAACTAGATGACCACAGCACATGACAGAGACGAGATGGACGGCCTCACAAGGGTCAGGTCGCAGGAGAATTCAGGAGTCAGGAAAGTCCGCTCAGAGAACTTCGACCTGAGTTCTGAAGGAAGCGCGTGGACAAGGGAAGAGTGTGGGCAGTGGCCCTGCGGGGAGCACGTGGGGACCGTGAGGAACCACACGGCTGCAGCCCTGGGAGCATGGGCGAACCCAACGAGCCCCACAGGCATGGCATAGAGAAGACTGAGAGGGAATGGCCAGACCACAGCCCAGGTTCTGGCTGCTGGGGTCAGCCTGCTCTCTGGGGAGGGCGGGACGGCTATGGAAAACCCCAGCATTTTCTGTCCTTATAATGCACTCTAGGATGTCCCCGTCCCTCCGATTACCTGGATACTTTTTTCCAGCATGGCTGACTTCCTCGTGTTGGTAATTTCCCACAGGAGATTTGTTACCTGGGCTATCACTGTTTTTCTTACGATGCTATGCTATCTATAAAGTCTTCGAGTTTGACCAGTCACTAATGATTCATAATTTGAGGACCAGTAGACCCATGGTTCCCCAACTTGAATGCCTGTCGGAATCACCTAGAGAGGTGATTAAAAATACAGCAGCTTACCCTGGCTGATGTGGCTCAGCAGGTTGAGTGCCAGCCTGTGAACCAAGGGGTCACTGGTTCGATTCCCAGTCAGGGCAAATGCCTGTGTCGTGGGCTAGGTCCCTGGTTGGGGGCATGCAGAAGGCACCTGATCAATGTTTCTCTCACACATCAATGTTTCCATCCACCTCTTTCTTCCATCCTTCCCCTCTTTCTAAAAAATAAATAAATAAAATCATTCAAAATGATACAGAGGCTTGAGGCCCACCCTAACCACTAAATCATACAAGCTCCATCAGCTATTACCCAGCTGGTCTCAGAAAGCCCATGCTCTGGGCAGGGTCGGTGGGAGAGGACACAAGGTTCGACAGGCGGGTAAAGGCAGCAAAAGCCCTGAGCGAGGCCCATGCTTTCCACCTCCTGGTGAAGATTTCAGCAGCGCAGGGAGTGTGTGAGCTCACCTCCCTTTCTGCCATAAAGGCTGTACTCACCCACTGAGTCAATTACCCAGTGCTGTTTCTATAAAGAGCTGTGGTCATTGTCCCCACGAAGCTTATTAATGATGCATTCCATCAATCCAAGATATGCATCTTTTCACACTTTAACACCTCGGAAATGGGGGTGTGCATAAAAGCTGATTGTATCCTAGCTTTGTTATCATGCAGCTGAGAGTTTTTCTTTTCATGGTACATAAAATAACGGTGCTACTTAAAAATCAATGGTATCTTCAAACTGATGGCGCAGAGTGGTTGAGAAAGGGGCGATATATTTGTGTAGTTGGGCAGCTGACACGGGCTTTGTTCATGCTGTTCCCTCTGCAAGGTAACTCACACCTCAGCTTCACCAGACCTACAAATTCTACTTAATTCAAGTGCCACTTCCTCTGGGAAGGCTTCTGTGTCAGCCCACCACCCAATCTGTGGTCCAAATCTTCCCTCTGGCCACCTGTACTGCCACTGACCCATACTTATCACAGGGCTGCATTTATCCTGTAATTGGTCCACCCCTCCCCCAACCAGATTGTGAGGTCCTGATAACAAAGATACAGTCCTACACCTCGGAGTTTCTAGTACCTAGCACAGAGCCTGGGAAGCAGCAGAAGTTCAATAAATGTTTGTCGAATGAATGAATGATAAAAGACTGCATAGTTACAGGCAATACATGAACTGTATCGTAAGTAATGCCATAGGATCTCAGCAAAAAGGCAGAGCACTGGCTGGAAAGGCCAAGGGTGGCTCACGAAGGGAATGGGGCAAAGGTCGTTCTGGCAGGACAGCGGATGGAGTGGCTCAGGGCTGACAGGAGGAATGGGAAGGGGGCAGTGCTCGGTCCCTCACCCCTCCTCCGAGGTGGGTCCTGGGGCTACTCACTTGGCTGGATTTCTGTGTGAATTTCAGGGGGCTGTGGGGTTTCATTCATCTTCATCCTTACTAATTAACTCTGGGTGCTAAGGAATAAGTAGCTCAACCCCCACTGAGCTCTCACAGGAAGTCCTGAACTACACACACTTTGTGGTTCAGACCTCAGAACTTCCTGCCGGAGCCCAATAAGATTCAGCAAGTGTGAGAGGCCAGGAGAAGGCGGCGGACGGGGCCCGCAGCCGCGGCACCGGCGTTTCAAAGCAGGTGCCTTCTCACCACCTATTTTTTAGAACCTTAACCGAAAATCGTTTTGTTCTTCCCACTTCCCCCAAAGCATAGCTAGCATGCTTCTAGCCGGGGCTGGGGTCTGACCTTTTAATAATGGTCATCGAAGGCACTTGGGATTTAATTCAACCAAGTTGTCTCTTAGCCTGAGCTTTTTTAAAAATTATTTTTTATTGTGTTTTTCCCATTATCATGCATCCCCTTATCCCTCCCCCCCACCCCATCACCACACGGTTGTCCATGTCCATGAGTCCTTTCTCCTTTTTGCTCCATCCCTCCACTCCCCACCCAGCCCCGCCCCCAGAGCTGTCGGCCTAGCCTGCCCTTTGGCACGTCCTCTGACAGGCTCTCGGCACCTCCAGTGTTCATGGACCCCTCTGTTTCCCAGGAGGGCACTGTAGATCATTGAGACGGTGTGTGAACAGTTAAGGAAGTGAGACAAAGGACTGCGTTTCCTGGTGCCTCTTGTGGAAGATTGTGCACAGAGGTTTCAATTCATTATCCAGACCTACGAGTAGGTGGTCAGGCCAGCTTTGCCTCGGAGGCCTGGGGACCGAGTTCCGGGTGTTCTGGTGGCATCGGGGCCCAGGCGGGTCCGGGCCAGCTGGGTCCTGCTGCCACACCAGCCAGCCTCTTTTTAACACCGCAGCTGGATGTTGGGCCCCTTTCTACAGCGAGTAGACACTGGGATCCAGTCAAAGCTTTTATTTCACACCTACTCCCAACATGGCGAGCAAGTGCCCACCAGGGACATAAGAACCCCGAGTCTCTCGAACAGGCAGGCGGCTCGCAGCGAGACGCGGCGCGGCGAAGGCCGCACGTGGCACAGGGAGGCGAGGAGCGCTCCAGGGTTCGTGCGCAGTCACCCATCACCCGACGGCCCCACTTTCATCGTCTCTGCCCTCCTGGTGCAGCGGGGCTGCGGGAGGAGGCCGGAGACTCCAGACGCTAGACCACGTGGCCGAGACAGGAGTGCAGGTGTGGTGGTGAATTCCCACGGGCTGGGGAGGCGATGGGCAGGACTCAGTGGTGAACATGCAGGCGCCCACGCCGGAGTGCGGGAATTCCACAGGGCCTCCCCGGGAAGGGACAGTTCTTATCTCTTTTCATCAGAGGAAGGGAACGGCGCTGCCAGGAGACAGTTATGAGTTTTCTGAGGCCCCACGGGGCGGTTTCGGTTGGACTCGAGGCCTGGGGAGAGGAGGGCCTTTCTGCTGGCGAGCCTGTGTGCCCGGGGGAGGAAGAGGCCTCTTCTGCTGCTGGTTCTGGGCAGGGTGCTGGACACGCTGGCCAGTGGGTGGGGGACGGTGACCATGCGCCTTGGTACGGTGACCAGGCGGTGGAGGAGGTTGGTGAGCAGCTGGATTTTGAGGCGCTGAAGTGGGAATTGGATGGGGCTTCTGGCTCCTTCCCTCAGAGGTCATTCTGTGTGTTGTGACTTCCAGTTCCCCATCTGCAACAACAAAACCTCTAGAGAGTTCATCTGGGCAAGATATGACCGATGCAACTATTTACCGAGTGTACTTCCTACGTACAAGGCAGAGGGCTAGCTGCTTTCAGGGATCCGATGAGGAAGCAGAAGCTGCTCCTACCAGCAGTGTGGCGTGCCCACCAGCAAGGTGGAATGAGGGCCTGGGGCTTTAAGAACTCCAGGAGCTGGAAGCAAGTAGGCAGGCGGGAGCCCTTGAGCCCGGGTCTCCCGGGAGCAGAGAGGGCACTGAGACCCCACAGCCCCGCCGCTGTGCCATCCTAGTGGCTCCGAGTCGGCAGAGAGGACACCCGCCGTGCTCTGCCTTCAGGTGGCTTTCTTTGCCAGGTCTGCCTTTCACCCAGCCAGACTCCTTCGCAACCCAATTCTGGCGAGGGCTGGAGAATACACGCGGGGTTTTGCAGTCCTTAGAAACTGAGTCGTTTCTCAGAAATTCACAAGTAAGTCCCATCCTCTTATCAGGAGGGAAAGAATCCCTCCTCTGGGCACCCTCTGCGGTTTCATGCTTTGTGCGCCTGTCATCCTCGAAGACAGGCCCACGACCCGTAGTAACAGCGTTTTTCCTATGCTGTTTTAAAACCGCACGGAAAATGTGTGAGGCGCCCAGCCGGTAGAGGTCTGGAAGACCCCGCTGGCCGCTCCAGCCCCCTTCAGGCCACCTGTTGGGTGCTCTAGCCCCGGTGCCCGCGGCCACCCTCGCAGCACACTCCCAAGAAAGGCAGGAGGGGGACGTTCTCCCTGGGGTCACGTCGTTACAGGGCTTGGCAAGCACAAGCCCTCTAGACTGAGCGTCACCCCGTGACTTCGGGTGATGACGCCCCCCCCCGCACCCCGCCACTCCCCCGCTGAAGGCTTCTTCCCGGTGTTGGAGATCCGGCCTCAGGCAGCTTCCAGCATGAGGACTTACGGCAGCAGCGTGGTTTGGATGTATGAGAGGCCAGCGCACTCTAAGCACACAATGAAAAGGGTGTGGAAAGGGAAAGATACACCCTCCGTGCCCACCCTCGGTGGCCCAGGTCATGCTCAGGAGGCCCCAGGCAGAGGGCTGTCCTCCGACCCCACTCACAGCTGTGGGACCACAGGGGTCCATTTTCATCCTTTACGTGGCAGGCGTGGCCTGGGCATTCGTTCACTAGTCTGTTCACTCTTCTGTTCGTTTGTCCTTTGAAAATTTATTCCCCCCCCCCCCCGCCCACCAGCATTAGGTACCATTGCTAAGTAGCAGTCATGGCCCAGACACAACACTCCTCAGGGAACCTAAAGCCAAGTAAGTAGGACCGCAGATCACAACGTCAGTCCCCAGTGAGAGTGCAGGGTCCCCAGACAGATGCAGACCAGGAGCCCCCTGAGTCCAAGAGGAGCAGGGGTGGGATGTGGCCAAGTGACCGAGACCTCTGGCTGTCTGGGACAGAGTGGGCGGGCGATGGCTCTGTGCGACCACCTGGTCAGAACGGGGCTGTGGACCCCAGCGCGCCCACACCCAAAGAGCAGTCCCCGCCCGACGTCTGCTCCCAGGAATTCCTCCAGCCTCGGTGTCCTCCTCCCGCATTTCATCTCCCAGTTACTCAACCCAGGGCCAGGGCCAGGGGAAATCAGGAAGGCACCTGGGCCCTCACACTCAAAGCTGTGCAAGAGCAGGGTCGAGGGAGAGGGTCTCTTTAAAGTTTGCACCGTGACCTCCTTGCTGGCCTCAGCCTAGCCCTGACTCGGCCTACTGGCCGTAGAACTTGGGGCAAGTCATTGAACCTCACTGAGCTTAAATCTCCTCATCGGTATGAATGGTACCAATTTCATAAGATCACTTGGAAGGTTGGGTAAGACACCACATACGAAGCAGTGTTGCAGAGATCAGTGCAACCGTGTCGTCACCGTGAGGCAGTCATCGTGTTGGCCATTTCAGCCCGGGGGAAGCACAGACTGCCTTGTCACGGGGTGGCGTGTGAGGTCCACTTTGGGAGAATAAGTGATCTCTGATCACTAGGTGACAGAGAAGGGGCCTTTGCAGGGGACAAGGGGGCAGAGAACAGCCGAGCAAGGCACTGAAGCGAGGACGTCACGGGTGCCGATGGGACTCAGCAAGCGACCTGCCGCTGGGGTGAAGAGTGTGGGAGGGGTGGGGTGGTGTGGCTTAGGGCTGAGGGAGACCCGAGGAGAGAGGCCTGCAGGAAGTCCAGTCTGAAGGTAGCCAGCCCAAGACCACCACTGCCTGGGGTTTCAGACCAGGTCTTTCCTTGGGGGGTGCCCGTTCTAGGAAAAGACCCAGAGTGAGGGGACCTGCCCTGCAGTGAAGGTGAGATCACACAGAACCTGAGGGGCCTGCCCGCCTAGCTGCATGTCCTGCCAATGGCTGATGCCCCCTGCTGGGCCCACCTGCAGCCAGGGGTCCTAACTGCCCCGTCCCAGCACCTGTGGAGACACCTGGTGTGCCATTGGGGTTGTCCCCCTTATCCACAGTCTCGCTTTCTGTGGTTTCAGTTGCCTGTTGTCAACTGCAGTGCAAAACTATTAAGTGGAAAATTCTAGAAATAAGCAATTTATACATTTTAAATTGTACTCAGTTCTGAATAGCATGATGAAACCTGCTCTGTCCTGTCCAGATGTGAATCATCCCTTTGTCCGATGTGTTCACGCTGCATACGCTCCCCACCTATTAGTCCCCGAGTAGCCACCTAGTTATCAGACCAGCTGTGGGGGAGGCATCACAGGGCCTGTGTTCAAGTCACGCTTACTTTACGTAATAATGGCCCTGAAGCCATTCACATAACTCTTGTGACAGTATATTGTTATAATTTTTCTATTTTGTTGTCAGTTATTACTCATCTCTTATGGTGCCTAAAGTTATAAATTAAACTTTATGGTCAGGATGTATTTGTAGGAAAAACATAGTATGTGTAGGGTTCAGTGCCAGCCGTGGCTTCAGGCCTCTGTCCACTGGGGCCGTTGGGACGTATTCCCCACAGATCAGGGGGCATGCTGTCTCTGAACTCACGGCCTCTTGGGCCCGGACGCTCCTTGCGCCAGCTTCCCACCTATGGGCATGATCTCTTTATTCTTGGCGGGTGTCCGACAGGGCTGATTCGAGGAAGAAACGCTCAGAGCCCTAACTTATCCCCTCTGAACAGCCAATTGCAAAAGGAGGTATGAACGCCTGGCTTCACAACGAGGGGCGTGGCCACCCCCACGGGAGAGGGCAAGGGGCTGGTTCACAGAAACGGAGTTTCGAACCTCCTCTCCCTACCGCACAGAGATGTGTGGCTCATTCAGAATGCGTCCACACAGCCTTGCACGTAGCCGACCTCAGATCGTGGGTTCCAGTGGGGCCAGCCTGGATTCGGCTTCTGACAGCTCCCCCCCTTGTCACCACTGAGAATTTGTTTTTCAGAACTCAAGCTAACCACAAAATGGAACAAACGGTAACCGCTGGTTACAACCCTGACATTCTGAAACTACCCGTCTCCATCACTTTCCTGCCCCACTCGAGTGCCATCCCCCCGAGTTGTTTCCACGGGGATTTTGCCCAGTCCCTGGGGGACAGAGGCAGGAGCTTACCATTTCTCCTTCTGTGCATTCTTCTCCTGCTGCTGGCGTAGAGGATGAGCAGTGCCACAAAGAGCAGGAAGAGAACGCCTCCGCCACAAATGCCAATGATGAGGTAGATGTCCAGGCCCTTCTCTGTAAGACAAATGGAGGTGGGAAGGAGGGGAGGGTCCTGGGCAGAGGGGTTGTCACTGCTCTGGCCCAGGGCTCCTGCCTCCCGAGTGAAGCAGATAACGGAGCTTAATGAATGGGACTTTTCAACCTCATGAAAACAGGCCAAGCTCACGGAGGGTGGCGGATTGTCCATCCCCGAAAGGGCACAGAGTCCAGGACCAGCCCCCTCCAGAGGCTCCTTGAGGGGCTGCCCCCCTGGACTAGAAGCCAGATCCTTCCTGTGCCAGGGCACGGCACTGTCCGTGGCCCCCAGTAAAGGAGGCTGTCACAGCAGTTCAGCTCTGAGAAGGAGTTGAGGGACCCCGCAGTATCACCTCCAGTTTTACAGATGAGGCACAGAGAGGGAGGACGGGCTGCCCGAGGCCACACAGCATCGCCTCGAGTGGTCCCCCTAGGCAGCCCCTCGCCGCAGCGTTTCTGCACTGTTTCCCAGCTTCCGGCCTGGCTGCCCTCCTACAGCACTGTTCCCCCGCCCCCCACTCTCTGGAAAAGGCCGAGTCCAAAGACCAAGGGTAAATGTGGCTAGTCCAGCCCAGCCCTGACTGCACAGCAACACCCTCTGCCCCCAGACTTCCCGGCCTGCCCGCGAGAGGAGCTCTGACACACACTGAGTCAGCAGCGGCAGTGGACGTGATCTTCAGCTCCCAGACCTCCTTCAGTCGCTGTAAGGTAGTGAGGGTAACAATGACTCAGTGTTTAACGAAAGGAGTTTGAGTTCTAGGCCCCTCTAGGCAAGAGCTACCGTATTTTGCCATGTATAACGTGCTCCCACGTTTTCGGCCCAAACTTTCAGGAGAAAAAAATCTTTCATTTTAACTCTTTAATTTGATTTTTAATTTATTTATATTTAGATACTTGTATTTTGCATTATAAAGGAATGTTAGCATTTATTTTGAAACATACAGATACGTTCTAGAGTCACACTTTCAACATGCAAGCATAAATAAAAAAATTAAAAACATGTATATAGATATGGGATCAGTATCCATGTGTAATGTGCATCTTTTTTTCTCCCCTCAAAAATCTGGGCAAAAAAGTGTGCATTATACACCGCAAAATCTGGTACGTGACCTTTAGCAAGATGCCCCGCCTCTCTGAGACCTTCCTTTCCCTGTAAAATGGAGACAATGAAACGTACACCCCGGGTGGCTGCTGGAAGTCAGTCAGATAGTGGATGTGAAAGTACTTTGTAAACTGTAAAACAGCGCACCAGGGCGAAGAGGCCCTGCCCTGGGGAGGGCTCTGTGCACTGGGCTTCTGGGAGCTGCGTCCCGGGGTGGGGTGGGGGGGGTGCTATGGGCCGTCTGCCCTTTGTGAGTCGATGACAGCTAGAAAGGCAGCAGATGGGGTCAGGGGCCAGGGGATGTGGACATCAGGGGGACAAGCTGGAGCTCAGCCCAGTGCCGCCAAGAAACCCTTCTCTAGCTAAACGTTCCTGGGAAGATACTCTCACACTCAGAGCCCAGGATGGGCCCCGGGAGCCAGCCAGGGCCCGGAAGCCCACCCAGCAGCCTGCAGTGATGTGCTGCATCCTTGCTTCCCTCCTTCGGTTTTCTATGACCTGTTCTTTGCCTGCCCGTTGGACAGCCCATCTAGTCTGTGGGTGAAGGGACTTCCTTTACAAAACCAGACATAATCCTAAACTGCGTGAAACGGGCCCGAGAAAGTATCTGGGGTTCTTCGGGGTCTGCTGGCTGAGAGGCAAGGCCGGGGCTGCTGGAGTCTCCGTCAGGCTGAGCAGAGAGCTCCCCGGGCTCTGACCGGGCAGGCCTGGACATGCCTGAGACAGTCTGGGGAGCACCGGGCTCAGCTGGGCAGCCACCAGCTCGTCTTCTCTGAGTCCTCACCCGGGGCAGCCACACCCTTGCCTTGGGCACACTTACAGAGCACAGAGGAAGCTGAAGGTTTGTCCAGCACAGCCCCCTGGGGTGCCTGGGGTGCTCTCTGTGGAGGACATTCCAGAGGCATTCAGAACTACGCGCCCAGTGTCTAAAGCCAACCACCCTCCTTCCTGCCCTCCTTGGAGAGCGTGCCCTTCGTCCTGGGTTCTGGCTTTCTGAGCCGGATGATTAGTCTCGTCATCACCCCTCTCTGCCTTGGCCTTTCAGGAGGAAACAGCCAGACCCCTTTCAGGGCCTTCAAGAGCAGCCCCCTCCTCCCCGGTGCCCCACCGCGTGCTCCTCAAGGATTCCTCCCGTCTCTCTGTGGCCCTTCCCAGGTCGGCTCCTGCTCTGCCTGCCACAGAGTAAGGGGCATGAGGGCTCCACTCTTTGAACCTCAGCGTCCCCCAAGGCCTTGCCTCCATCCCCGATGCACACATGTTTTTATACTGGCGGGATCTAGTTTGTTGTTGTTGTTTTTTTTAAAAATGGAGTAGGGCAGTCAGATAAAATGCAGGATGCCCGGTGGAAGTTTAATTAAATGATAAATAATGTTTAGTTTAAGCATGCCCCATACAACATTTGGAACATATTCGTGCTGTCCTTTTATTTGCTAAATCCGGCAACTAATCAGGGGCCTCCTGAGAGGGGGAAAAGGGCCGGGAAGTCAGGGGGGCGCTTCTCCGTTCACGGAGCCGCAGTGATGGGGGATGCCGGCCCGAGCGTGTGGCGGGCAGACTCTCGGATGGCCCAAAGATCCCCTCCCGCCGGTACTCCTGGCTTCGCGTCATCCCCTCGGATTGAAGACGGGCCGGACTTACTGGTGGCTTCTACTCGCTAGAATGCAGCGAAAGTGCCGGGATACCTCTCACTCCTGAGGTTGTTATAAAATGTTCACAGCTTTTGTTTTGAGCCCTTTCTCCTGTTCTTACTGAGACTGCTCAAAGGGACACTGGCTGCCATACTGTGAAGCAGCCCAGTGGCCCACGTGAGTGAGCTTGGACATGGACCCCCCCCCAGAGCCTGGGCGTGACTGACTGATGTATTGCCCGTGTCCACAGAGTAGCTTCACTCAGGACGCTGAGCCAGGACCACCGAGTCACTGTCAGATTCGTGACTCGCAGAATCTGTGAGGTAGTGATTACTTGTTGTTTCAAGCCGCAAAATGTGGGATCATTTTTATGCAGCAACAAATAACTAGTTCAAAAAATATATATATATAAAAGCCTTAGCCCTGGCTGGCGTAGCTCAGTGGATTGAGTGTGGGCTGTGAACCAAAGTGTCCCAGGTTCGATTCCCAGTCAGGGCACGTGCCTGGGTTGCAGGCCATGACTCCCAGCAACCACACACTGATGTTTCTCTCTCTCTCTTTCTCCCTTCCTTCCCTCTCTAAAAAATAAATAAATAAAATATTTTTTTTAAAAAAAGCTTTACTTCTGACCTCACACTAGCCCAGGCCTGCTTCCTAGGGTCACTGATTGGCCATAGCCACTGTCGAAGCTCAGGACGTCTGACCGAATATCTATGTTTCGTGCTCAGTTTCCTTAGGGGGCCTTAACCAGTCAGCACGGGGAAGATAATCACAGGGTCTCAAACGAGTGGACTCCTGGGAACCTGAGGGCTCATTTTTTTGTGGACCAGGAGCCCAGAAGGTAAGGAACTCCGTGGAGGTCCTCCCGCTGCCCTGGGACAGACCCACACTAGAAGTCCAGGCCTCTGGCCCTCAGAGCTGGGCACGGAGCAGACCGCCTTTCAGAACTTACTGCTGGGGTGACGTCAGGCTGCGGCGCCAGGAAAGAGCTCAGACTCTTAGAATTTTGGGGCCTCCTGGTGCTGGCGCCAGCGCCAGGCTGTCTGCTCCGAGGCGGGGGAGCATTTCCTCACGGTATCCGTGGTCCTGCCTGGCCTCACGCTCCTCTTCTCCCAGCCCCCTAACCCCATGTTTTCTCTGCAGTCCCTGATAGGAAGTGCTGGCCACCTCCCTTCCACAAAGGAATCTTTTTTGCTCTCTTCTCCATCATGACCCTGGGAGTCACCATTGTAGTTACTGACTAGTTGAAGGACCTTGGACAAGTAAGTCTGTCTCTCGGGAAGTGGAGGTTTGCATACAGATAGCCTCTGTAGCTCCTTCTATTCTTCAACTTGGCAATCCTTTCTCCCAAAGGAGCTTTATAATGGCCTGAGGCTACACCATGCTCGGTGGGGGATGCCCCAGGTGGGTAGCCATAGAATGCCACCTCTTCTCTCCTCTAAGTCTTCTTTTACAGGTTTCCAAGGGGAAGGGGCGTGCTTTCAGTTCTCACCTTGAGTCAAGGCTGCCTCCCGGCCCAGGCACCTGGGCCCTGGGGTAGGTCTCCACCATGGGCCTGGCAGGCTGTGTTTGTGACGTGAACTTGGCATGTCTGAGTAGTGCCTGCCACGTACCTGGACACGTGAGGTCCACCTCGCTGGTTTCCTCACTGACCGTGTTGTTTGCTGTGCACTTGAATGATGTTTTTTGTTTGGTGATCCACTTGTATTCGATGACCTTCTGGCCGCCTTTGATATATGTCTGACCTCGATACAGTTTTAATTTAGGGTCAGTTCCGTTTGTTACCTTACAGGTCAGGGTTGTGGTGGTACAGTTCCAGGAGATCTCAGGTTTTGAGACCATCTCTGAAAAGAAAATAAGGATCCAATTCATACGAGGCAACTTTCTGGTTGTGATATGATTAATAGACATACCTATTTATAGACAGGGAAACAGAGTCCGTTTGAGACCAGGGACAATTTCAAAGACCCCTAGCAATTTTTGGAAATCATTTTTATCTTATTTATACAGCAACAAATTTATTTATGATACATTTGATAGATACACTGTATCAGTAAAAATATCTACCAGATGTTTAAGTGCTGTTTTATACCTTCAAATGTTTCCATATACATGATATCATGTAATCCTAGCGAGCAGAAAGGCTGATGTTTTTCTTCCCACTGACATATGAAATGCCCAAGGCTCCGAGAAGTTAAATCGGCCGGGGTCTTACCCAAAGTTTCTCGGCCACTCACGTGCCTCGCTGTACTTCGCCTTTAGGGGACGGGTGGAAAGACAAGCCCTGCCTGTCGTAACGGGACGGCAGGTGACGAAGCCCTGGGCAGAGTGTCAGGCACCGACCTTGGTGGTGGTCGGTGCATTCAAACCTGAATTCCTCGCCTCTGCTTTTCTGACACGAGAACAGGCAAGTGGCCCAGCCTTGGTGCCACACGGGCCAGGCACAAACCCTGTGCCACACCACTTCTAGCCGTGTGACCTCCTCCTCCTCCTCCTCCTCTCCTGCTCTTTTTCTCGTACTTGACTCTCTTTCCCCGGACTCGCCACCCTTTCCGCCCAGTTTCTCTCCATTCATTACGCGGACGGACGGCTCATTTCCCCACGACTCCCTGCCTCCCAAGCAACAATACCTTGTGCACCAGATTCCCCACCAGATACCATTTCTGTCTCAAGATATAAGCGCGCAGAAATTGAGTGTCCCCCTGCATCGTTGGATTTGCTGGGGCCAGGGAAGAGGGGGGTGAAGAGACACCGCCGGGCAGTAAGACAGGGGCAGTGCGTAATTTGGGGGTTCAGTCAAGGCAGGCGTTTCCTTGTCTTTTCACAACGGACGTATTCTTTTTTTCTATTTATAAAAGTAACATCCGGTCTTTGTAAAAATTTATTTTAAAGGTTTCAAGACTAAAAATCACTTTCAGTTCCACTGCCCAGAGTCAATAATTACTAATGCTTTGAGGTACATCTTCTGCAGATGTTTCCTATGTGTTATATACGCGTATAAAAATAATGTTTTAAAAAGTGAGGCTGAATCATATGATTTTGTAATCTACCTTTTTTTCCTTTACTGATCTCTTATGAAATTCTTCGCCTTAAAAATATGAATTAACATCACCACTCTTTTGAAACGATGTATTCTTCAATGAACGAATAGCTTTCCAACTGCTGGGGACTTTTACACCCTTTCCAGTGTTTCCCTCGTATCAACCACACGACGGTGAGGAGCTTCTCGAAGTCACACCTTTGTGCGTGTCCTCTCTATCAGAGAGCTTCCTAGCAGAGGGCTGGCCAGGCCCAGCGGGGCCCATCTCACAGACAAGAACTCCCCTGTTCTCGGTTACAAGGAGGGACCACTCCCCCCAAACCCCTGCTTTGAAGGGGCTCTCACTGCCTCTTCAGCCAGCGGCAGCAGCCCCGCATTAAGGGGCTCGGGGGGCCAGGACGGTAGGCGGAAGCAGCACGGTGAAGGGACAGTGAGATGGGGGAGGGCCCTAAGCCAGCAGGCACTGGGCCCTGGGCACCGTAAGGCTCCTCTGCTCAGTTGCCCCCAGCGAAGCCGTATCTCATGGAATAGCTCCTGAGATTCACATGATGAAAATCGGACTCAGAGCAGACAGAGAATGTACTCAAGGCCATGCGGCAAGTAAGGCAACCAGACTACAAGCTGAGTGGAGATGCCACGAGAGATATACACACTCCCCCACAGGGGGGTGACTCTTGTGTCATGGAAAGATCTCTGTCTGTTGGCCCAGGAGCGCAGGGTTTATTTTTAGGTACTCAAGATGTTCTAAAATTGTGGTGATGGTAGCACAACTCAGTGTACTAAACCCCACTGAATTACACACTTTAAATGGGTGAATTTTTTGGCACGTGAACTGTGTCTCTGTAAAGCTCTTTGGAAAGAAGAGATGTCACCACCCTTGCTAGAAGAAGCCCGGGGTTCAGATCCTGACCCTGCAGCAGTCCAGCTGCGAGACTTTGGACAAGTCGCTTCTGTCTCCTTGGAGAGGAGAGGGGGATAATGACAGCTACCTCTCAGGACTGTTGGGGACCGTAACTAAGATCTTGTGAGCAAAGCGCTCGGCACCCAGCAGGTGGGCGCTGGACCCGCCCCGACACTAAAGTTCTGAAGGAGTCGGAGGGTGCCGCTCCTTGTCCAGGCGGACGCTCAGCCCCTGCGGGCAGGAGTCTGAAGATTGGGCTCCCACAGCCCACAAGGTCACAAGCAGAGGCCCCTTCTGCCTCCACTCTCCGGCCCACCCCCTTTCTGGGATGTGCTCCCCATTCAAGACTGAAGACCGGGGAGTGGAAAGTTGCCGTCTGCAGGGAGCTGACAGTGTCTGGGGTTGTTGGAGAGGGGCAGCAGCCAGGTCCGCACTCTGGGAATGAACAGGGCTGGAGGAACCCCCTAGGTAGAAGGCGGGAGGCTCTGCTCCTCACGGCGTTTCCTGTGTGAAGCACAAAAATGTTTCTTTGCTCACCGCGCTGCTGGCCCGTGCTCCTGCCGGGGCTCTGGCCAAGTGCAGCTTCCCCTTCTCACTTTTCATCACCCCCGTTCGAGCAGCTCCTGAACTTTCGGCTGCAATGTCATTTCAATTCCACTTTCTCTTCCCTCTGTACCGCACCCATGCCATCCTGCCCGTGCTTTCTCCACATATGACTTCAGACGCTCACTCTTCCTCATTTTCCTGGCACGCTTTAGTCCAGGCCAGTGGGTACCAGCCTTCGCTGCTGATCAGAATCACCCGGCGACCTTTAGACCCTGCTGATGCCCAGGTCCCACACTGAAATATTCCAGCTTAGGTGGTCTGGGATGGGACCTGGGCACTGGTAACTTTCAATAGCACCTCAGTTGATGCTGACACGTGACCAGGGGTAAGAACCACAAGCCAGCCCCTGTCCCCTTCACTGGGATGCAGCAGCAGCTCCCCGACCCGGCTCCTTGCCACCACCTGCAGCAGGCACCCCTGCCTCCCGGCCCCACGCTCAGACACACGTTGCCACACCCTGTCATTGTCTACAGAAGTCAGCAAAAATCGTCTTCCACCGGGGACCGCTCTGCTGCGGAGCAGGCCAGAAACAAGGGCTCTTCACCCCTAAATTCATTATTTCCAGACATTTCCTGCCATGCAACTACTTCTTCAGGGCCTCTCAGCTTGACATTGTCTCTGTCGTTGGAAGACCCACGGCTCTCCAGTGGGCCTCACCTTCCCTGCGCCACACCCAGCTTGCCTCTCCACCGTCCCCCTGGAACGCCTGCCTTTGTCTCTGGCAACACGTGTTCCCTCCTCCTGATCAGTGCCACCTTAAGCCAGGTTCTCCACCCAGCCCCACACTCCCATAACCACAGAAGGGACAGTGTTAGGCAGATAGACGGTATCGCCTCTGTGCTCCCACGCGTGGATCCCATCTCCCACAGGGCGGGAGCCTCCCCCGAGGCAGGGGGGATGCGCTGGTTTTCCCCTCGGGCTCCCCCAAGGCTGAGGTCAGGGCTGGGGACACTCCGTAAGTGCTATCCCCCAAATCACTAAATAGCACCCGTAGTAAGATGGAGGAATTTAGGGAGCAAAGACTTACCTAGAATCCTCAAATTGAATGTTCTGGTAAATATTTGGATTCCAGCCTTGTTATATACGACTATCTGGAAGTTAGTATTATCACTTCTCTGCAGATGTTTAATTGTCAGGCTTCCATTGACTGACACTTCGTATCCTTTTGGCTGCTCATGCACAGTGCCTTTGACAGTGCCTCCTTTGATTCGTACCAGCCTGGAATTGTTTTTGAACCACTTGATATCATCTACATCACTGAGCTGTTGATTGGGAACATCCAGGGTGATGCTTCGGTTCAGGGTGCCCAGGACCTGAACGACGTTTGTCTCTGTAAAAAGAAGACGGTTACTGAGGCCTTGAGACTCACCGCCGGTGAGAGCCGGGCTGTCACTCTCAGCCTCTGCAGTTACTTCAGGGTCTCCAAAGGAGACTCCAAAGAAGCTTGTCATGGTGGCTGTGGAGACCCACACACCAACTTACCTTGGGCAGAAAGGTTGAAAATCAGAAGGAGGCTGGCGAAGATTTTGCATGCGAGGCTCATTTTTGGGGTTAGTTTCCTTATTGTGACTCTGAGCTTTTGCAAAAGGAACTAAAGTAAGAGCGATGGAATCCACCCCCGGGGAGCTTAACCACGTGTCTTTCTTTTTTCTTCTTTTACAGTAGCACAGAGAGTGCGTACACACACACACACACACACGCACACACACACGCACACAGGGCAAACCAACCTTGCTGATGAGCTCTGCCAAAGTAGGAAAGGTAGGAGTGTGTGTTTTCTTATCCCATTGTAATTCTCACAGCAACCTGGGGTGGGTTCTGTCACCCCCATCGAAGAGACAGAGACTGGGGGTAAGGAAATCTCTCCGCATCACCCTTCAGTGAACAAGGGCCAAACTCTCCCATCCGGCCCGTCTGCTGTGCGTTCTCTGCCATCATCTCTCTGGCAAGGCCACGCAGAAATAGTGTAAATGTTCAAAAGTGAACAGCAGAATACAACTCCTTATCCGATGATTATACATATTGGAAAAAGAATACATATGACCTAATTATAAAAGTGGATTTTTTTCTGTTTCTGAAAAAGTGTTCATGAGTTCTAACACTGTTTTGTGATGAAAAAGAAACAAATACAAACTGAGTCTCGGCTATAAATGCTCAAAATGCGCAAATCTTATATTTAGCATACATTTTTATACTCTATTGGAAATTCGCAGTTAGGTAAATAAAAAGTTCTTCCGAAACAAACAAAAATGCATAGAAACTATAAAATACTATTAAACAACCAGGAGAAATCATTCAAAAAGCATTTAAATGGTGAACGCTATGATAGTTTTTAAAAAAAGGAATGAGTAAGGAAAGAGAAGGGATGAGGTGCTTGGAGGAGCAAGGGGAGGAAAATGGGGGGCCCGGGGCGAGGAACAGCAGTGCTCGCGTGGCTGCGGACGCGGAGCTCGGCTGCAGAAACGGCCAGGCCACGATGGAGCTCCTGGGTGTGTCCAGCGTCACGGTTCTTCAGGATGCAGGGCATAAAAGTCTTAAAAACTGCGCTTGCTTTCTGTTTCAACTGTAGGTCCAAATATAGACGTTCTCTCCAAGGGTGCCCGGGACATGACATGAAGCCCAGCAGCGGGTCTCCACCCCCGGGTCAAAGGGAGCCCGAACAGGACGTTTCCCCCACAGGTGTGTGACCCGCTCCGAACTCACCTCGTCTGCAGAAACAAAACAGAATGGGATTACGTTCTCGGATGTTTAAAAAAAGCTGTAATAGTGTGAAAAACCTTACAAAGACAATGTCACATCTTTGCGTATGGAAGTCCTGCCGACACACACCATCGGATCCAAGAGTTACGAAGAACAAATGGACACAACTGACGCCATAAATGTCACATTTGTGAGCAGGCAGAGAATAATGAGCAAAGTGAGAAGACGTGCCAGGAAATAGCTGAAATAAATTTGAACGATTATTAATATGCAAGATACATGCTATGCCTATCAATCCGTAAGAAAAAGAAAACTCAGTTTTTCAAGGGGGTAAAAACTGTAAGTGAGCAGTTTATAGGAGAAATACTTTATAGAAGAAATATCAGTAAACATGAGAAGACAGCTCATGTCACCAAATATACACACACACACATACATATAACACAGCCACAAAGTGTCATTTTCACCATCAGATTGGTAAAATTATAAAAAATAATAATTTACATTCTCAACAAAAATGTAGGGAGAAACAAGGACTTTGATACGATATTGGAGGGATTGTAAATCCACATGTCCTGGGGAAGGGGATGAAGTTGATAATTTCCACCAAACTTTAAAATATATATTTTTTGACCTCATAATTTTAATTTGAGAAATTTATCTTACCTAAATATTTGCACAAATATGTAAAAATTCCGTTTGAGGATTTTTGGTATTTTTTTTGTAATAAATTGCAAACAACTGATATAGTATACTCATATTATGAAATATTATATAACAGTTAAAATAGAATAAAGTAGACCTAAGAGTAAGAATATATGATATCATATGATATAATATAATATAATACAATACGATACGATATTTAGTGTATGTATGGAAAAAAATCTGGGAGGATTTATGTCAAAATTTCAACAGTGTTCTCCTTTCAGGGCTGAGATATTCAGGTATCTGAAAGGAAATTTTCACTTTTTACTTACCAACTTCTGTGAAGTTAGAAATTTGGGTAAGGAGCACATATTATTTTTATAATGGAAAGGCGTTTTTTTTTTTAAGTCACACCTTGTTTTTCAGATGTAAATGCAGATTCTGAGGCACCATCAGCACCTAGCACCCCTGCTGGGAGTGAGCTGCAGGGGGGGGGGGCAGCTGTGCAGCTGCAGCCCTCTGGCACCCAGGCCCTGCGGTGGGGCCCACGTGAAACCTGCCTCAGCTTTTAAGGAAGGTTGCCCCCTCTTCCTCTCCCTCCCACTTTCCTGAGAGCTTTTCGTAGTTCTCGTGGAGCAGCTTCCTGTTCTTCTCGCTGACACATTCATTCTGCTCCTCTCACATCTCGTCCAGTTCTGAGTGGCGCGTTCAGCTTCCCAGGAGAGCCCGTGGGAAAGGAGGGGAGCGCTGGCTCTTCGTGTGTGGCATTTAGCACTTTTGTGTGTAGCAGCCACCAAAGACACGGTGAGACAGAGCACTAAAAGGGGGAAGTTATTTGCAAGATATATGACCAAGGTGAATGCAAATATAGAAATGAAATTAAAATTTTTTTGTAAACATCAGAAGTTAGAGACCTTGATATTAAAATGGGCCGAGGTCAGAAAAGCGACAGTTGGCAAAAGGAGAAATACAGTTGCTTCTGAATAAAGAAAAGGTAAATTTTAATATACATGCATTTTCCACCTTTCAGTTCAAACATGAAAATGCAGTGTTGACGGCGGTGAAGACAGACATTCCTGCACACGGTCGGCAGAAACGCAAACAGGCGTCGAGTGTCTGGGGGATAGTTTGTCACTGGAATCAGAAGCAGCAGAGAAGTTTATATTTTGCCCTCACAAGCGGACACCAATGATTTCGTCTTAAGAAACTAACGCAAGACGGAGAAGACTTGGGGGTGCGTTTCCAGACTTGCCTGTTCTACAAGTCAGAATTGGAAACAGTTTAAACGTCCAAGAGGAGGAAAGTGCTTGAGCAAATGACGATACGACGAACTGAATATGGGAGAGGAAAGGTCACAGAAAATAGTTGAGTCCCAGTTTTGGTTTTCCAACCAGCGCGTTGGGCTGTGTCTTCTGGAAGGCGGGCACCAGGGTGTGGGCCGTGTGGAGGGATGATGGCTCTTGCTCTGTCGTCCTTGGTCCTCCTGGCTATGCTAATGTTTCTAAATGAGCATGTGTTGCTTTCCAGTGGGTTTACTTTTCTTTCTAAGGGGGCCTCCCACTTAGGCAGAAGCTCCCAGGACTGAGGTTGGGTGCGGTCCCTGCTTCGCTGTGTGAGGTTCCGGGGAAAACCTGATCGATGACTCATTCTAGTTTCTCCCTCATCATCCTCGCTGCGGGCTGGGGGTTGTGTGCTTGCTCTGTCTTCGTTGACTCTTTTTCTTACCCAAAAGAACGCTCCTGGGAAATAGACTAAAAGAAGCCAGTGGGAAACGGAGGAGGAGGAGGAGGAAGACAACCTTCTCAGAGGTCTGGCTTTTGGACCAGTTCCTGTCCCCCACCAGGACGGGGCCAGGACAGAAAACACCTTCGGTGCTGACACCCACCTCCTTCTCCGAGTCAAGGTCAAGCACTAGGGAGTGTCAGGTCCTGTTGATGCTGTAGCAGTTCACATGCAGCTCGGGGTCTTGAAATGTTACATTTTAGAGCAGAAAGAAAGTTGACAAGCGCTCTGGTCTCCTCTCCACATTTCAGCTGAGGGTCCTGAGCCAGGGCGGTTCTGGGTGTGCCTGTCCCGCCTCATCCGAGCCAGCGGCCTGCACCGCAGTCTCTGGGCCCTGAGCTCCAAGCTCTGCGGCACTGCCTGCCCCCCCCGCCCGCCGGAGACCTCACACTTGTCGGCCTGCCCCACCTCGTGTGCCCTCTCAGCCCCGGCATCACCAAGTCCAGCTCTCCTGCCTGCACCGCATCCGTCTCCTCCCTTCGGAGCCTTGTTAGACCTTCCCACAAGCTCGGGGAGAAACAGGGGAAGAGAGACAAGCACATAGCGTTTCATAAAACTGGAAACTGAGTATGCCACGGCTTCAGTGATGAGCAACGATCAGCAAGGCCACGCGGTGTGCCCGTCGGCAGCCTGGCCCCGGTGATGTTCTGCTTGGTTGTGTCTGGGTGGTCACATCGGCACCAGCTCAGAATCACAGCCATTGTCACGGGCGGGTAAGGAACAGGGTGCTTTCCCCAAGGTGGCCTCAGGCAGCCAGCCACTGGGGCATGTCCCGTGGTGGAGGACCTGTCTCTGAGGGCCCACTCCTCCTCGAGCTGCTACCTCCTCCGGGGCAGGAACTGAGTTTTCTTTTCCTTTTGTGTTTCTCGCCCACACAGCAGGGAAGACAGAACCGGCCCATGGAAACAGTTCCTGTGTGAAGTCTGGGCTCCCAACACGACAGTCACCCAGCCTGGAAGTCCCCCCACGTGAATGCCTCTGAGAGAAGCAAGCGACGTCTGTCCGTCACCAGCTGCGTGATCACGTGATTATAAAGAAGAGACCCAGGAGCCACACCGGCCAGCCTGCACCTCGCCCGAGACACATGGAGACAGGTGCACAGTCTTCGAGTCTCAGTTTGCACGTTTGTGAAAGAGGACACACACCTCATTCTGAACTTATTTTGAGAGTCACATGAGGTGACACGCGTCCGGTGTCTAGGGCAGTGCCTGGCCCTTAGCAGACCCTCAACAAACACCCGCTTTCTTCCCTGTTTACCACTACTGTCATAGGTCACTTGATGACGGGATGCATTCGAAGAAATGCGTTGTTAGGTGACTTCGTCGTTGCGCGGCCATCACAGAGCGCGCTTACACCCCCCCGGGACGGTGTGCACAGTGCACCCCGAGGCTCCGCGGTCCAGCCCGCTGCTGCTGGGCTGCACACCTGTGCCTCATGTTACTGTGCTGAGTGTTGGCACCTGTGACACAGTGATAAGTGTTTGTGTATCTAA